AATAGAGGATGGGATAACTCCGCTGAGTTGATTTCGATCCGCCATGAGAGTTTCCAGGTTGGGCATGCGATAGCCAATGCCCGAGGCAATGGATCCGCTGAATGAGTTGCGAGAGATCATCAATGTGTCCAGACGAGACAGTTGCCAAATCTGCTCTGGCAGTGATCCGGTCATTTGATTGTCCAAAATGGAAATGGCCTCCAACCGATTGGATAATAATCCCACCTCGCTGGGGATGGTGCCAGTGAGAGCGTGACTAAACACCCGAAGCTGTGTCAGTTTTGTCATTTGTCCAATCTGCGTGGTGAGCGTGGAACCAATGTTGTCCCTCCCCAGCTTCAAGTACTCCAACGATGTCATCATCATGAGCTCTTCCGGGAGAGATCCAGCAAGATTGTTGCTTTTCAGAAACAGGTGGCGAAAGCTTCCGTCCTCATTGCAAGGTTCCTTGTCCGAGAGAGCCGCCAACGAGAACCACTCACACTCTGGAGTCTCGTAGGAAAGCCATTCGGCGGACGTAATGTTGACTTTTTCGACGGAGGCCTTTGGCGGGCCCCCAGGCGGAGGCGGGCCTTGTGGTGGCGGCTGCGTAATATTAGTATTATTTTGAGAAGGTGGCAAGGAGGCATTCTGTTGCAAGAAACGACCCGGGCCGCCTTTCGGTGGCGGAGGAGCTCCTCCAGGACCTCCCGGCGGCCCCTTATCGAGTGTGACGGTAGTGGTTCCTCCTCCTTGTTCCGTCCATTCCTCTCCCCCCGTTGAATAGTATAGTGTTGCTACAGCAAACCTTTGCTGAAGACGGTCGTCTGAATAGGTTGTAATGTTGGGATCGTTGAGTAGCCATTGGAATGCCTTGGATTGAGGACTGATTCCAAGCTCATCGCGTAGAATCAGTTTCGTGGTTGGCTCAGGCAGTAACGACAACAACAGCAAATCATCGCCCCCTTGGGTTGGTACTGCCGTTGACTCATTGTTGTTGTTGTTGTACATGTCCAAATCTGCTCCGCGTTCCTCACTACTGGATGGATTCCACTTGCTTGCCATGAGAATGCCGGTAAGCCCAGCCGCCACAATTGCCAGTACACAGAGACAAGCGAGAAACTCCTTTCCGTGGCTTGATTTCTCGCGCCTTTTCCGCGGCGGGTCCATTGGTTGTGCCTCCGCGGTTGGTTCTGTGACGGGCATCGCTACGGCCAACCCATCCTGTGTAAAGGAGTTTTCCCACAGTACCGGTACTCCCTCGCGAAGAGCGGCGCTGCTGGTGTTATATCCGGGGTTATCCACAAAAGAAGAAGAAAAGGGAGCCGTCCCAGGATGAGCATATGCTCCTGGTAAGCCACCAGGCTGGTTTGGATGAGGGCTCGCATTAGCAAATACGTTCAGAGATGTCGTGAGCCGTTCTCGAAAGTGAAGCGAGTCCGCGTCGACCACAGAGGCGGCTTTTTCCTTTGTCTTTTCCATCCGTCCTCCCTCCAAAACAACCGACTCATGTTCTCCAAGCAACGGATTCAGACAAAAAGTGCTCGAGGAACGACGCGTGTTTCCTGCCCGCGTGTTTCCTGCCTCCATCCTTTTCAGGTCACTGGGGGCATTGTCTACCACCAATATGCGTCCCAACTTTTCAGATGGGCCGGGCATTGGTGTCGTCCTTCTTCTTTCGTCGTTCCTGCTCTGAGAAGGATTCGTCAAGGAGAGATCTGTCGAGTTATCATGGTTATTATTGCTGCCAAGTTCAACGCCTGCTGTTGACAAGTTTTCGTTCGCAATCACGGCTTCTTCGTTGACGCTTTCCTCGTCATCAGCAGGGAGACACGGGCCATCAAAGTGGCTACTTGAGACGACTTCCATTCTTCCAACCTTGCTCTTCAAATAATGATTGCACCAAGTAGCTAGATAGCTATTCTGTGAGAAGCCCAAAGAGCAAACCACCAATTCTTTTGGCTATAAGCTGCTGTTTCAGGCTGTATGGCAACAGTGGCTTGAAGAGATCCAGCAAGCTCCAGATTACATACATGTACACGTACCGGCATGACACAGCTCCCGAGTTACGTACCCGGGTTGCATGTTGTTTGATGTTTGCTTGGCGCTTGGCGTCAGAGCACGTGAGAGTACGGTATGCACAATGCACAATGCACTGGGTCAGCTCAGCCCACCGTAAGTTGATGGATTTATGCATAAGACACCTCTTTGGGAAGCAATTTTAATTAATAACTAATAATTCACTTTGCCAATGGTAAAATAAGCAAGCCGTGAATTATTAATAGTACATGTAACCGTACTAAGTACTCAGGTGACGTGGCACTCCTCCTTTAAATCCTTGATGGTTGACCAAAGAGCCAGGGAAGGAATGTTCCCCCGGAAGTAACAGTTACTAGTAAATCACGTACTCTAAGCTTTCGTGAATCAGTGAGAGGAAGGACACTCCAAACCTGAAGGTAAGCAAATCCAAATTAGTAAGCGAGTACTCAGATTTTGGAAAAAGATAAGAATCTTTTTATACTGAAATATCACAGACGTGCAAGAAAACCTCCCAGTATTGATACCTCAAAGCACAAGAAATAATACTAGTCTGACACCATGAAAATCATGTGCCTAAAACTGCAAAATTTTCTGCCGCGAGGCAGACACAGTGATCACCATCTCTTTTTGATCCAACCCAATTTACGAGTCCTGAGCAAGTTGGACCCAAACACCCAGGTGCACTGGGTACCAGTTGGGTAAGAAAGCTCGAGTACTGACTAAAGTACCAGTTAGAGCTTTCTTATTATTGAGTTTGGACTGCATCTCAGCCCTCTAAATCTTGATTCACCTAGTAGCAGAAATTCGTGACCCCCGTTCTGCTTCCGGGCCCTTCTTGGTGGAATGTTGGTGATGGTGCGATCAGTGCGATGGTGCATTCGTGCATTCCAGGGCAATTTTAAATTAATTAGTGACAAAATGACAAAATAGGTCAAAAGCAGCTAAAATAAGTTTAAAAAAGTTAAAATCACAAAATCAGAACAAAATTGCTTTGCGTTTCGGGTTTGGCATCTCTGCCACTTTAAAAACCGACAAGTTGCACATTGTTTTGAGACTCGACTCGACTCTTCGCATTCCTTTGTTCCGGTCCACCGGTCCACCATCTCTACGTTGTATCATACTTGTGTGTCCCTGCTGGCACCATGAGCATCCGTCGCCTCCATAGGGAATGCTGATGGCCCCCTTGCACTCTTCCACTAATTTGCCCCCCTCCTGCCCTTTCCCAACTCCCGGCCCCCATAATCTCCTGCCATTCCTCCTTTCTCCCACCCCCACCCTCTGCATGCCTCAACAACTCGTGGCCTCTGTCCCCAGATTAGCACCTATCTCTCCTTCACCGTTTATTGATATATATATATATATATGCATTTTGTTTTAATGAGACTTATCCTTGGACGGCAGCAAACAACACTAATAACTACTACTCAAGTAGTACGTCTCGGCCGTCTAGTATGCGCTACAGTGTACCGGTAGTGCAAGTCGTCCGACCACGTTTCCGCGCCGACACTCAGATCGAGGTGCTGGGGTGTTTCCTGTTCAGACACGGTGTTTTGTAGTTATGCATATCTATTATTTGTGGTTAGTTTTGGAGTTTCCTATCCATGGTTAGTTTTGGAGTTTCCTATCCATCAGTGAGCCGTATGCCCACTACTGGACTACCATGGTACAGTACTACACCGTAGCTATGACATAGCCAGATCTTTCGTTTTTGCAACCACTTGCCTGCTTGCCTGTTGCCTGTTGCCAAATTGTGAGGGTTCGGCACTGGAACTTTCAAAAACCACGATTGAAGTCTTTCACATATTTTACTTAGGAGCAAATCGAAATTTTGATCCAATTACTTAGGGAGACTCGGAACCAAAATTGGGAAGTGGAACACCAAATACGGCTCTTTTGGGACGCTTTTGAGACTTGCTTCGTTTCGAATTGCTCGCGAACCCCCTTCAAAACGACCTTGTGTGTTGTGTCATCATTCATCCCCGACAGCAGCCATTGCTCAGGCCATCCTTGCTGCTCTTGTAGCCGATTATCCTTGTATCTCGTTCTTGTTCATTTCTATGTACCAAACAGCAGCAACAATCCGCAGCAATCATTAAACAACCAAACAATCACACCAGATCTACCCATGGGTATCCTTCTTCCATCAAACCTAAATGCACCGCTTTTGAGCCTCCTCTTGCTGTTCTTGCTACTACATCTATGTGATGCAACAGAGATAGCAGAGACCCGACAACTGGAAGGGCAACGGAACTACCGGGCGACATATCAAGCCCGTTATCAGCACTTGCTGGACCGTGACCACTGCAGCGCCGGTCCCGACGGTGCCACTATTGAAATCTTTTGTCGCGGCGAGTTGTCTCCCAACAGTGTGTCCGATGCTTCCATTGCCTGCACACGCACCCAAGATGCAGCGGGTTGGAAGGGACTGTCGTGTACTCATCCTCCATGCGACGGACAACAAGGCGCCTGCGACTCTTCTTTTGTGGGCAATAATGAAACTACCAATTTTGGAGAAATTGTGGTGACGTGCGTCGGTGAAACCGAAGCCGATGTCGATGTCTACATGATGTATCTGGGAGGACCACCCGGAACTTGCGCTGCCACTACCACCACAACCGATCCTCCCCAAAATACTCACGTTGCCCAATTGGGAGTCCAATGTCCTTCCGAATCTGCTGCCGCCGTTTTTCAATTCGACGATCACCATTTCGAATGCGACGCCAATTCGGTACCCTCCAAACTCGACGATCGATACACCTGTTCTGCCGCTGTTCAAAATAGGAATTGTGGAGATGATTCCGACGAGTGTACTGTCGAATACGCCAATGTCACAATCCACGCCGATCGAGAACAGTTTCACGAATGCATTACTCCCATTTGGTTATCCAAGCCGGTAGGGCCAGAACCAGGTCCTGTGATTGCCATGAGTCCACCGGGTCACTATACGGCCACCTTTCAAGCCCAATGGCAACTCTCCTTGGATACCGACTATTGCAGTGGACAATTCGCACCCAAACAAATTCATTGTCTGCACGGAACCACATTGGAAAATGTGACACCTCTTCACGGTACTGTCGACTGTCAAATGCTCAATGCCAGTTCCATGGAATGTCGCGATACGGAACCCGACAATTTCGTCAATAACTACAGCGGCGTCATTTACGAGTGTCAAGGAGACACGTTGCCTTTGACACAAGCGGTCTATGGAGCGGCCCTTTCCTATTGCAACACCACGAACGACATGGGAGAACCCGCTAAACAAGTCGCGCATTCCCTTCAATTGGGCGTCCAGTGTCGAGACGACAACAATGACACGGTCCTTTCCCATGCCGATGCCTATTTCGAATGTGGTCCCGACAATGAGTACGAATTTTCGTCCGACGGTGCTATCTACACGTGTCAATCCGTTAATTCCTTTGCACCACAACCACAACAACCCGCGGACAATACTCCACCCGTTCACAAGTCACTGCCACAAGTCGTCATGGAAACGGGTGTGCAATGGACCTTGGAACGGCCCACCAATTGCTTTCAATTTGTACCTGCATTGCCGGATGATATTGGTGCAAGTGGCATTGGTGTGGTACAGGTGGAACAAGCCGTGCCTGGTTTGGGAATTCCACTCGATGGAAGCGCTGGGCTGGGTCCATCGGTGGCGCCGGCGGCCATGTCGGGTGGAACTCTTGGAATTCCGATTGGTGGTGGATCCCCGACACCTGTGACTGCAGCTCCTTCGGCGACTAGTGGTGGGACGCTAGGGATTCCGATTGCAGGATCGCCGACACCTGCGACCGCAGCTCCTTCTGCGACGGGTGGTGGAACTCTTGGTATTCCGATAGGTGGAGGATCGCCGACGCCTGCG